CGCTGCGTCTCATTTGTTGCCATGGGACGATTTCGCCGTGCGGCTGGAAGAGTCCAACTCTGAAAGCATCGAGGGCGGTGGCCGTCAGCGAGACGATGCGGACGGGTGCCTTCCTCTTGAACGACCAATGGTGATACATCTGTATCGCCGCGAGCAGTAGCTTCTTCCTGGTGAGAGGTACTGGTCTTGGAGCGCCGTGGGTGTCGTTGGAAGCTTGGAGATTCATAACTTCATCTTTGGTGAGAAGTAGGAGATCCATCCATCCGTCGATTCCTTGTTCAGACAGTGCGATGCGCATGTGAGATGCATTGTACCCTGTGGTGGAAGCGTCTTTGCCGCATAGGTTGCATAGGACATGCTTGAGCCTGGCTGGTTCATCGGCCATCTTGATGGAGGTGTGGCAGTGCGTAACTGCGACTAGTTAATCTGCTAACGTGAGGAAATACTACTTGAATAGAGGGATCTTGTAGAGGTAGCTACCACCCAACGAGATCAGCTGCAACTATTCAAGACGAGTGCAAAGTAAATGCAAAGTTCGCTTCTTAGTAATTCATAATCTGTGTTGTGAGCTTTGATTGATGCGATCAGTAAAGCTAGTTCGTAGCGTGTTAGATCAATGCATCGTGGTAGTTGATCTTGATTCATACGGAAGTCAACGTGGTATCTGCGGGAAACGGTTCGTTGGCAGGATGCTTTACTCCTGTCGAATACTCCAATTTACCGTGTCCTTTGGTTTCGTTGAGAACGTGTTCTTGCCGGCGTTCTCTGTTGCTTCCATCGTGTTGACTCATAAAGCATGACTCAATCTACTCACGGATACTCTGAGTCGTGGGAGGAACTGTAACGCTTTCAAAGTCAAGTACTGTTGCCACGGTAGCTGGCTACGATGGCTGGATTGACAATGTTCGGTTGTGCATGTATTCGTCATAAGGATCCAATGCAAGGTACCGGTAACCGTAGCGAGCAAAGCCGAACTTTCGGTACTGTTGCCATTGTCGTCGATGTAGCTATACCGCAGCCGGCTACAATGGCTGGATTCATAATGTTCGGTTGTGCATGTATTCGTCATAAGGATCCAAACTGAGGCAAGGGATACAGGAGACGAGCGCTGAAAAAAACCGAATTTCCTATTTCCTATTCCGGTGAAGCCAAAGTATAAGCATAGAGATAGTCATAAGCCAACAAAACTGAACATTGATGGTTCAATACAAGTTAGGGGTAGGAATAAATCATTAATATTTAAGGTTAGTGCAATCAGCACAACAGCACAATAAGCCAGCAGGAGCTGTAAAGGTTAGAGTTACAATAAGGGAATGGCTGCTGGTAAATTATAGAGTAGCGGGTGGCAACACACGACGTAGTCGGGTGTTGTCGCCAGGGCTAGCTTAATAAAAGAAGGTTGCACTGAGGGAATGAATGATACCGGGCGGCAACACACGACGTAGTCGGGTGTTGTCGCCAAGGCTGGCTTGAAAGATGGGTGCAATCTCGAACATGATCTTCCTCCTTCTATCTGTCTTTCTGCCGAGGTATCGCAGCTCCCACTGACTTAATTTATGTAGCTACACACAAGTCTACATACTAGCTAGCTAGTGGTACTAGCTAGGACTACTAGCTAGTACTGTCCTTGGCCTTTCACCCTTGTCCGAAAAGGTCACCAAAGACAGCTGCTCGTGGTGGAGGAGTTGAGGCGGGGCAGCATTGGCAGCATTGTTTTCGATGCCACAGATGGCCGCCCACTCCTGAAAGGGAAGGCGAGCAGCTAATGATCGAGGTAAATTATGCAAAACGCATGTTTTTGAGATACCTCATCCTCGTTGATTTGACCTGTAGAACGCTGAGAATAGCCGCAGATTCGACGCGTCGATGTCATTGTCATTTGAGATTCGTTTAGGGTTAGAGACAGCACATACGCACACTTCACTTTGAAGTCGTGGCGGAGGAAGATCCATGGGTTGATGGGTGTCTCCTAACTAACAAGAGCCGAGAAGAACAGGGTGGCGATCTGTGGCAGTGAAGTTCTGGTAGTTTGTGCAGTGGTACATCACTCAAAACAGCTCTCATTTCCTGGAGTGGTCAGTGCATGCATCGGAACCAACCGAGAGTGGAACCAAAGTTGATCGGCAGGTGGAAGATGAAACTGTTCAAGGTGTCTGTTCTGGCTATGGTGGCTTCAGCCGCTGCTTTCTCCACCGTCTCGTTGGCGAACTGTGGAAGACGGTCGGCATCTGCTCCAGCCACCACCAATACTTGTGGAGCTGGCGATCACACCAGTCTTCATGCACCTACTGCCCACTCGACGGCCCTGTATCAGGCTGGTCGCAGCGATGCCCCACCACTGCGCAAAACCAAGCCTCGACGAATTTGTTTAATGGTGGAACCCACGCCCTTCACCCACGTGTCGGGATATGCCAACCGCTTTAAGGAAATGCTCAAGTTCTTGTCCAAGGCAGGCGACGATGTGGATATCTTGACGGTGGACTCCATGACACCCAAGAAAGATCTCCCCAGCGAATTTAATGGGTTTCCTGTGAGACATACCCAAGGATTCACCTTTCCTCTCTACAATCAAATCTCCTTGACCTTTGATCTGCCCGAAATGAAGGGTGCTCAAATCCTAGAAAACTTCAAGCCTGACCTGATCCATGTGACCAGTCCGTAAGTTTATCATTTGTGGCCAATATTTTCTCCTCCCTCTTTTGTGTGATTTTATTATCTCACTCCTGCTACCCTTTCCCCCCGTTTTCCAGTGGGCTTTTGGTCTTTGCAGCTCTCTTCTATGCCCGAGTCATGTGCGTACCCCTACTGATTAGTTATCACACTCATCTCCCCACGTACGGCAAAAACTATTTGGGCTTTATCCCAAAGGTCGAATCCATCTGCTGGGAGCTCCTTCGTTGGGTGCATTCTAGAGCCGATCTTACGTTGGTGACATCCCCTCAAATGAGAGACGAATTGGTCAGCCATGGAATCCCCCGCGTGGACGTTTGGAGAAAGGGAATTGATACCGAGCGGTTCCAGCCATCCTTTAAGAGCGAGGAAATGAGAAAGAAGATGACCAATGGAAACCCCAACGACTTTTTGATGGTCTACGTAGGACGCCTGGGTGCCGAAAAACGACTCAAAGATATTCGTCCCATGCTGGAAAAAATGCCCGGTTCAAGGTTGTGTGTTGTAGGAAAAGGACCCCAGGAAGCAGAACTCAGGGAGTATTTCAAGGATACCAACACTGTGTTTACTGGCCAGATCAGTGGAGATGAGTTGAGCCAAGCCTTTGCTTCTGCGGATGCCTTTGTCATGCCCAGTGACTCGGAAACGTTGGGATTCGTAGTGTTGGAATCCATGGCGAGCGGAGTGCCCGTTGTCGGAGCCAAAGCTGGAGGAATCCCTCACTTGATTGATGATGGCAAAGATGGTTTCTTGGTACCTCCTGGTGATATTGATGGCTTTGTAGACCGATTGAGCCAGTTGAAGGATACAAGATTCCGTGCCAGAATGGGTAAGAAGGCTCGTGCCGAAGCAGAGCGTTGGGGTTGGGAGGCAGCTACTTCCGTCCTACGCAACATTCAATACGAAAGAGCTTTGGTCAACTTTCATTCTCGTGCATTTGGTGGCTTTGGACGCCCTGGTACCCGTGGTGTCTGGCGTCTTTTGGGAATGCGTATTCGTAGTTTCTTCAGAAGATACCTTGGGATTCCTCTATTTGGCAAACGCAACAACAAACCCCAGGACAACCCAGAGATTGCTCCGTCTCCATAGGGATCCTGTGTGACGTGCATGTAAATTGGTCTGTTTGGCTTGGCAACGCAACAACAATACAGCAAGGAACAGCCCACGGTTGCTGCATGACGTGCATGTAGATTGGTCTGTAACATTCTTATATAAGACTAGTGTCAACTTTTGAGTTTCAACTTCTGGCTACTAGTAGAATCGAACAATCCTCAGCGATCAATGGACGGGGGTTTAAATTGGGTGATATGTTGTCTTCAGCTTAGGGAATATTCAAAAAGTCTGTCAGAAGCACCGTGTTAGGGCACTGTCTACCGAAGCTACTAAAGGCGCTCTTAAACCAAAAATCGTCGTTTAGTCGAAAGTTTAGTATTTTCGGCAGTGTCTACCCATGCTACTAAAGCTATTTTCGACTAAACTCGTTAGTCAAAGGTCGTCGTTTTTGACTAACGGGAGGCTCTTTAGTGAAAATTGCTCACCAACACAAAAGGCTTGACTAACAGTCTTTTAAGCAGCAGCAGCAGCAGCAGCAGCAACAGTAGCAACAGTAGCAACAGCAGCAACAAGCCAACCAACCAACCAACTACTTGCCTCTTGTTATCTGTATCTCTACCGCTTATTATCCTCACTTTTACTATTCAGCACCTCTATGGATTCCTCTAGCAGCAGTTCGGAAGAGGATCAGGACACATTCGACTTGATAGCCAATTTGGCAACGGTCCAGTCGGTCGTCATGGATGTCGTTGACAGCGATGGAGAGGACATTGATTCGATTGATCACCGTATATTTTCGAGGAATCAACGTCGTGTCTATGACCACGATCGGGCGTACCGGTGCATTATGGACGACTATTTGTCGCCACTACCGAGATTCAATGGCAGAGAATTCGAAACAATCTTCCGTATCAGTACTCAACGGTTTGAGCGAATACGCCAGGACTTTGGGAACAGTGGCCATTTCTTTTACAGTGGGGAAACTGATGCCTTTGACCGCAAGATTTCTTCCTTGGAAGCTCGATTGTTGCTCCCGTTGAAGTGTCTTGCCTAATAATGACTGAATGAGAGAGGTTGCGATTTTCCTTCCAGCGAGCGAGTGGACGGATTTTAGTCGAACCGTTAGGCGTGTTTCGGTAGATACTGATCAGTCTAAAATTTCGACAAAACTCACGACTAACCGTTAGTGTGCATGGTTAGTCGAAACACGGTAGACACTGACGATCTTAAAGCTTTTCGACTAAACACACGATTAAATACCAGTCTTAAACAATCTTTAAGCGCGCGTTTAGTCACCTCCGGTAGACAGTGCCCTTATTAGCGTGTTTTTCTGCATCTGAAAGGCTGCACCACAGTGAAGGGAGACTAGACTATTTAGATTAATCTTTCACTCCGAGAGTCCAGATGAAAGGAAGATGAATAGGAAAAGCAAACGATACGACGTCGTATAGATTCTCTCTAATCTACTACTAAATGGAGGTACACTCAACTTGGAACTTTATCAAGATTACAAACAACTGCCGTCAACATCCTTGATCTATCTCTTCACTTTTCTTAGCTAGCCAGCAAGCAGCTCACCATATTCATTTTCCTTTGCCTTCTTCCACTTTAATTTCAACTTCGCCAACCGAACAAAACTCACAAATCCCATGCATCCTGGGGACCAGAGTCACCAGAATCATCATCCGTCTTGAGATCATTCGATGAAGCACCGCTGGTGAGCGTTGGTTGAGACACACTGTGACGCAATTCACCGAGGTCTTCATCGTCACTGTCATCATCCCAGTTTCCATCTGCGTTCTCAAGAAGTGCAACTTCTTCTTCCAATGTCACCCTAGTTCCTCCTCCAGCGTCGTCCATGCCTTGATTAAAAGTATCACGAGCGAGACTGGATTTTTCAGCTTTTTCCAGCTGTTGCTCAGCGCTCTTCAACTGTGCCTGTTGCCTCTCGAGTACATCACGAAGCATCTCAGCAGCGGTGGTACCTCCTCGCACGCGTCGCAACTGTTCTGGGTCGTAGCGACCACGGGGAATGCCAGGTTTGTCCATGTTGATACCATGCGCATCGGCCCAGGCCAGCCAAGGGCTCCAGGTATCGGGATCGCCACGGCGCAACGTCACATCGTTTCCAATCACAATGAGAGCACGACGGGCCCGTGTAAAAGAGACATTCACACGTCTCCAATCCGATGTAAACCCAATGGCTCCATAGTCGTTGCTTCGTACCGCCGAAAACACAACAGCTTCCTTTTCACGTCCTTGAAACCCATCCACAGAAGAAACCTCGATGTACGGAGGGCCAGTGGAATCCATCAAACGTCGGGTCAAACGACGAATCAACCTCGCCTGAGCGGCATAGGGTGTACAAACGGCAATGTCTGACACGGTACACTGCCCTCCATCCAAAAGTGCCTGAACGGCGCGGCATGCTGCGTCCGCCTCGAGCTCGTTGTACTTACTGACACCATCATCCATTTCAATTCCTTTCACCGGAATGTATGCCACAGGAAACTCTTCGCGCGGCCAAGGAAAGCCGGCGAGAGGACGTCGTTCGGGTGAGGTCACACCATTGCGGAGTTTTCCACCGTAGAACAAGTCCGAGGGGAACATGGCAATACATGGATGCATGCGGTATTGGGTGTCCAACATGAAGGGAGGCACACCACATGCAACCATGCGGGAGAACAGGGGAACTCCATGGCCTTCTTCCTCGGCCCGAGTACTGAGCACTGTTGGTGGTAACTGGCAATGATCTCCTACTAGAACCAACTGACGACAACCTCTCATCAACGGCACCAGCACGGCCGGTTCTGTAGCTTGCGTTGCCTCATCAACAAGTACGCGATCAAACGTCATTGCATCCAGAATATCACCACCGGATCCGATACAGGTGCAGCAAATGACTTGTGCATTCTTCAGTGTCTTCAGCCGTTCCTTGAACGCCGAATTCGACGTGTAAGATTGACCGTTGTTGTTGTACGATGACGGTGGTCTATCAATGCAGTAACGCAGCAACTCGGGGCGGATAGCTTCCGGGCGTCCCAGCCTCACAACCGACAGTCCAACGGAGGCACACCCTTCCACGAGATTGTCAACGGCAATGTTCGAATCTGAAGTGGCCAAGATTGGACTGTGAGCTTCTCCTTGGGCTGATTTACCCAACCGTGCCCAGTGCTGCAAAATGCGAATGGCAACTGCTGTTTTTCCTGTGGCAACAAGGTATGGGACGAACGTGAGAATGGGAAAGAATTCAAACAGAAACCAGACTGATTAGGAGGGGACCAAGCAAACACGTACCTGTACCAGGAGGGCCCTGCCAATGAACGACACATGACACGAATTGGTTAGTACCGAGAAGCAAATTTTAGTACAGCAACAACAAAACCAGAACGCGGACATACCTGAATCAATGTAAGACGATTGGTGGTTGCTCCTTCCACTGCCATTCGCTGCGAAAGATTCAAACGCTCCAGAGCCTTGTACTTTTCCAATGCCAAGGAGGAAGTCTGACGAATTTCGTCTTGCGTCAAATTCTCTTCATTCTCGTCGTTGAAGCTCCAGGGAACAGCCTCGGAGCACAAGGCTGCCGTGGATGTCAGTTGCCCCGGCTGAAAGCCACCGGATTGTTTCATGGCTCTATCAATGTTCTCATCCATGGCTGTTATGGCTTGGATCAACTGTGGACATGGACGTCGAGGATCTCGAGCAATATCGGGATCAATCGGACTAGCCACTGCCACTGCAGCTGCGAGTTGACGATTGAACCCCATCCTGTTTGCGAGCTTGTCGATTCGATACACGTTGCCATCCACAGGTTCGGTCAGCATGGAGTGCAACTGGGCGTTTGTCTTGTCTTGCAAGCGAATTACCATCGGGTTGGTATTGACCACAGTCGCCTCGATCATATTCCGATCCAAGCTCTCGGCGGACATGGGATACGGTCCGGCGTAAGGCAAGATACTGACGGCATCTCCGGCTTGGATACCTCTGTTCTCCATGCTATCGGGTACAAAGACACCGAGTTGTTCTCCAGGCATGACGACCAACTCCGTCGGCTTTTTGCCTCGCTTGAGACGAGCATCGACGACACAGACACCACTGCGGACCAACCGTTCGCAGGGTGCGGAACAAATCCTGTCACGTGCCGAAGTTGCTTCTTCTAGAAACTCCAACGAAATGCCACGAACAACGCGCAACAGATAAGTCCTCGACGTTGGAGTGTCAAACTCGGTGGCGATGCAGAGCGCATTGATCATATCGGCGGCAGTGTAGGCACTGCTGTTGCGCAAGTTTTGTGGCAAACACTGCAAGATACGCTCCGTGTGCAGCGTGGACAACGTCCCGGGCACCACACAATTTCGTAAACAGTAGAGGGCGTCATCAAACATGGCAGCCATCAGATATGCCTTCATGACGATCTCCAGCACCATGGGTTCGAGAGGGTACTTGTGATTCTTTTTGTTTCGCAGGAGGCTACGCATCGCGTCGGGGTCACTCTGTTCGACACACATGCGTACATCGTTGTTGAAACGGCGTGCCGCTTTGTTGGAATCGCTCTTCTTGCCCTTGGATTTCTTCGACTTGGCGCTCTTTTTGCTGTTTGTGTTAGTAGTTCCGTCATTGGCATTGTCAACTTCTCCCAGTTTGGACAATGAGGCACTGGAATTTTCGTTGCGGCGAATCAACTGTACCTTGGTCGATGCCGTGATGCTGACTTCTTGTGCTGGCAACGCTTTTAGCGCCTGCGTGGTGGAGGGGGCAGGGACAGCTTCTCCCTGGTTTGTCGAGCCAGCGTCGGCGTCGTCATCATCTTCTTCGTCACCCCCCTCTTCTGCATTCTTTCGTTCTTGCTTTTTCTTCTTGTCCTTGCGTGGTTTGTTGCGATTCTTTTTCTTCTTTTCCTTGGCCGGTTTTTCACCCGTACCAGAAGCATTGCTCTTGTTGTTATTATTGGTGGCCACGAGGACATCGTTGCTTTGGTGGTCAGTCTCCTCCGCCACTTCGCTGTTATTATTATTGTTGTTGTTACCTTGATTTTTGGGAGACCGCATCAAAACCATGGGACCTCCTCCGGAACGCCCATTGGCGACTTGTGGGGGCTTTGGAAGCGACAAAGTGGGAGCACTGGCGGTTTCGTTATTGACGCTGTCGTTGTCGTTGTCTTTCGTAGTGTCCTGGTCGTCATTTCCAGTGGGCGCTGTTGCCTCGTCGTTGTTTTGTGCTGGTGGGGGAGATTCATGAGTTCCGTTGCTCATTGGCTTCTCAGTTTCCTTACCGGTATCGTCGGTATGAGGAGTGGATGATGTTTCCTTTTCTTTTTCATGGTCCGTTCCTGTTGTATTGTCTTGCTGCTGCTGTTCTTCCGCATTGTTGTTTGTGGATGTTGGGATATCGTCTGTTGTAATCGTTTCTTCTTGCGCATGTTCTTCCGAAGCAGCAGCGGTTGAGTCCGCCATACTGGCATTTTCGTGCCCATGATGGTTATTATTGTGGTATCTGTTATTGGATCTCCCTCTTCCTCGCCCCCGGCTTCTTCCTCTTCCACCTCTACCGCTGCGACCACCTCTATTTCCGGCATCTCTCTCGCCATGATCTCGTCCTCCTCCTCCTCCTCGAGAGCGCCCTCCTCTGCCACCCCTGCCTCGACCCCTGCCAGTGCGAGCTTCCGAGTGATTCTCTGTCGTTGCATTATTGCTGGGGTTATTATTTGTGATGGTTGCCGTCGTATTCTCATTGTCATTGTTCTTCTTGCTGAGATGGTCCGTCTGTTTATCTTCTGGTTTTGCTGCAGTAGTAGTAGTCTCAGCAGCAGCAGCAGCAGTGCTAGAATTTTCATTGGGATTTCCTCCTCCGCTATGGCTCTCACCACTCGGATGATGATGTCGCCCTCCTCGTCCTCCTCCACGTCCATGGTACGTATTCTTATGATTTCGATTTCCTCCTCTTCCACGTCCTCTTGCTCCTCGTGATCTTCCACCGCCACGACGACCTCCTCCTCCTCTCGTATTTTCATTCGTATTATTATTGTTGTTGTTGTTGTTGCTATTGTCATTGTTGTTGTCAGTCTTTGTAGTGGTTCCGCCATTCGTAGCAGGTTTGCTGTTGCTGGCCTGCTCCCTGGTCGACGTCTCTTCTTCCCTCTGCGAAGACCTTCCTCGACCACCATTTCTTCCACCACGTCCTCTTCCACCTCTTCCAGCAGCAGCATTTGCTCGAAAGCCATTTCGCCCTCCACGAAACCCTCGGCCTCCTCGACCACCTCTCGGGTTGCTGCTGCTACTACTGACAACTGTAGACTTGTTGCTTTGTCCTCCGGATTCTCCTTTCTCCATACGATTGCAAGTATATTATTGGTACGACTGCCTCCTCCGTTTGCCTTTTGCTGGGGGATTATTATGAAATGTTGATTGTGATTGATTGGTTGAGTTTGATGAATGATCAAAATGACAAATGCCATGCCACCGCTGGCTTGGGGACCGTCATTTTCTGTTTTGCTAATGAACCGAGCGTGACAGCATAAACAGCTAAATTAATCGACAATATGATGATCATCAGCGTTCTCCCTAAAGCAATTTCGCATCCCTGCATTATTATTGCCATTAGAATGATCAACGGAATCGAATCATGAATCGAATCGAATCGAATCGAATCCAGCCAACAATGAACTGGCAACAACGGCACCCGCAAACAGAACGCATTCATTTGAACAGTTCGGCAGCCAAAAAGATCCTCTGTGGGCTTGCAAACATCGGCTTGTTGTGCCAACAAGTCATCTCCCTGCTCTGTAACTTGACTCTCTTTCATACGCTGCATTGTCGTTTCCTGCTTCCAGCGTTTTCCTAGACCTAGAGGCTATTTCTGGTTGCTTCATTTATTGATTGACTGTCACTCGAGTGGATCTTTCATCATGTTCAGTTTGGTATCGGGTGTGTACGAGTCCTATTTTGCTCCCTCCCAGCTCAATCTGTTGGTGGTGGGGGCGAGTGGAGCGGGAAAGACGGCTCTCTTGGAGAGACTCAAAGTGACGCAATTTACCAAGAACAAAAAGGCATCCGCCGACGACGGTACGCCAGACGATGTTCCACAATCCTTTTTGCCATTGCGAATGCGACACGCCAGTGCAGCTCCAAAACCTCCAAAACAATCCAAGAAACATCCAACGCCCAAAAAGAAGAAATCTCCCAGCAGCAACAACAACAAGAAACGAACGTGGGCATGTCCCGCACCGTCCAAATATGCCAAGGAAGAAAGCAGTGACGATGACGACGACGATGATATCAACGAAAGCGAAACGACACTCGATGCCATGGTACCACCTCCGCCAGAACCCAACGGGCTAACACAAGAATCGTCTCGGGAAATTTCGCTGGAAGATGTGTCGCTGCGAGATAGCGAGCGACAACCGCCACCCACTACTAGTAGCCCTGAACAAGATGACAAAGAGGACGAGGAAGACGAAGACATGCAACATGATCTCAAGAGTAAAATGCGCATGTTGCCATTGCACAAAATACGGCCCACGAGTACGTTCGTTGAATTCAATTCAATTTGCAAGCAACACTGTTTGGTTTTTGAGTTTGCCACCCACAAGAGTTTCATCATGTTCTGTGGATCTCATGATTTTTTTCTGTTTCTCATTCTGCTCGATTATTCTCTTTTTACTGTGGCTGTCTATCTATATCTCTTTCTTTGTCTTGTGTCAATGTTTTATTGTGTACAAACAACAGTCGGAATGAACTTGGGAAAGGTAGAAATGTGTGGAGCCAAATGCCATGTTTGGGATCTGGGAGGTAAAATGCATGATTTGTGGTCGCGCTATTACCAAGATTGCGATGCCGTCGTCTTTGTTTGGAAAATTGTCGACGATGCCAATCCGCCCATGGACCAAAAAAATGAGGATGATGACAGTGACGATGACGTGCCGTTGGTCACTGCCGCACAACAATTGTCGCTGCTAGAGCAAGTACGAGATTCCATTGCCGATGATATCCCCGTTTTGATTTGGGGACATTGGTTTCCACAACAACAACAAACACAACAACCCAAAAAGGACCCTGCTTTTCAGTACAATCGCGCGTTTGCGACGGACGCCGTGTTGCCGCATTACCACAATCCACTCATGTCCGTGTATTTTGGATCCGCCAAAAGTGGTGCGGGAGTTCGGACCGCCATGGAATGGTTGATACCCACGGCAGTACGACAAAAAAAGTTTCGAGATAAGAGTGCGGCTCAGAATGAAACAGCATGACGACAATGATCATGATGAGGATCCCGGCAAACCGAACCTTTCGTCGCAAAAACGAAGGCGAGGATTGATAACGATGAGGAAGAAGATCTAGTAGAAGCATGACGAAACGAAACGATACGCAATGATACGATTCGACTCGACTCGTCTCGCCCGCAACCGCTTGAGCACCACAAGCGTCCGCATAACCTCTAGCCCTACAAAAGGCAAGACAACAGCATACAAGTGTCATCAATAATTAGCAATAATTAGCAATTCACACGGCAAGGAACGTAGGACTTTTCCCCAAGGATTCTCAACAGCGAGGCATGCCGGTACTCTTTGCATTTGTCTCCTCGTACGGTAGTGGACATTGTAGTCTAGGTTGTTGCCCGTACTTGAGATTCATTAGGAGGGCAAACGCCACCGGTAAAAGGACTGGTCTCTGGTGATCCAGCTCATTCCAACTGCACAGGTAGTTTTGTTTCCCAGATACTAGGATGTTCGAAGTCCTCGGAAGGAGCCTCTGACGCTGTGAGAAGGGCTTGGGATGCTGTGGTACCGTTACCGGTGCGTGGGTGACCCGCCACCAACCTCGCACCTCAAACCATGGCTTACCGGTTCCATTGAGCAGCCGGGAAGCTGGAGGTGCTTGGACGCAAACCACAACCAAAGCACCTGATTGCATGGCTGAACACCGGTACTGCAGTAAAAGTGGTACCAGCCACTTGCTTCCAAAGGTGATCTATTTATTTGTCATGTCTCCCAAGCATATGGATACCGGTAGCCACCCACCGCACGCTTTAGCTACCCTGCCCAAGCGGTTTGACAATAGTTGCCTACGTGTACCCAGAAGAAGCAATCTATGGCACTAACCGAGATAGTACCTAATAACTTCCTAACTTTGTCCAGCTAGCTGTCCAGCTTCTCTGTAGCCGGACCTGTACTGTGAGCTTAACTGTGTACTTTTGTTAGAGTGGTGTCTTTGTGAGGCAACGCAGCTTGAGCTCTCTCTTTGCCCCATCCACCTTCAGCATAATTAATTATTGTCCTACGCCACCTCTGTCGAGAGTCGAGAGTACTTCAATCGTTAATCATTGTCTTTAGAGGGACAAAATGGCTTTAAATCCTTTGAGTCGTCGGTGAGAGATTGCCTGAGCTGTGTTTCTCAGTCCATTTCAGTCCCCTTTTTCTGAAGGCCACATGGCACACGGTAAAATCGGCATTTCATCATCAATTTCCGCTCTCTGTGCATGTCTGCATGTCATCAGCCATATCGATTATTTCGTTACTGTGACCGACCTCGGCAAGGAGACAAGGCAAGGAGACGATGACAACAAGCTGAACTCAAAGTCTTCATTCATTTATTAAAAGCCCTATACTGCTTATTCAAGAGGAAGGGAAGAAGTGTTTTTCGTGCTCTTTTTCGCTTTGAGACCCATAGCCAACTACGACTGCTTATTGTTGGAGACACCGCCGTGCCTGCGAAATAATACAAAGAGAAAATGGAAGTCGAGATGGAAGTTGAAATGGGAGCCACCAACGCACGGGTGATTGAGCAGTTTGGCGCCGATACCCAGCTGTGGTGTGCCTCTACCAATCAATATGCCTCGGCTTCCGAGGTCCTTTCCAACAAAGTGGTATGTGCTCTACAGCGAAGGATAAGTGCTGATATTGCCCCAACATCTCACCAATGATTCGTTTGTATGATGATCACGACAGGTTGTGATCCTATTCTCGGCGTATTGGTGTGGACGTGAGTTTATTTGATGTCTTTTTATGCCTCTCTTCTGTTTGCCGATTTCTCACCACGGTGATGGACATTCTGTTTCTTCCAGCCTGCCGAAGGTTCTCGCCTCTGCTAAAAACCCTCTACGAAAATCTCAGAAAGCAACCTCGAAAGGAAGAGTTTGAATTTGTCTACTGCTCCATGGACAATTACACCACCGAATACAAGCATTATGCCTCTACCATGCCTTGGTGGTCTCTGCCACCTCAATCGCCCGTCACTGACCGGCTCAGAACAATCTACAAGAGCGAAGGAATCCCTCACTTGTGCGTAATTGATGCCGAAGGCAATCTGCTGTGTGGAGATGCAGTCAATGAAGCCATGGAAGACACGGCCGGTGCTCGATTCCCCTGGAGATGTCCCAAGGCCGTCGAAGAGATTCTGCCCGACACATACGTAAAGAATGATCAAACCTACCATCCAACAGCTGAACTCGACAACAAGTATCTTATGCTGTATTTCGGAGCGGGTTGGTGCCCGAGGAGTACGGCATTCACTAGAAAGGTTGTGCGAGCCTACAGGGCCTTGAAGCGGACACGGGACGACTTTGAGGTAAGAAAGAAGACTGCATGTTCAGACAAGTCTACCGTACAGCACTGTTTTGTTGGCTGACCCCGCCTTTTTCTTTCGCTCTAGATGCTTTATGTGAGCTCTGACCGAGACAGACGAGCCTTCAAGGAAACTCATAGTCAAATGCCGTTTGGTGCCATTCCGTTTGGGGATCGCTATGCAAAAAACAAGCTGGCGCACTTTTTGGGGATTCGAGGCATTCCGGCACTTCTCATCTTTGGGCCGCGTCCTCCGGGTGGAGGGAATAGGCCACTCATCAACGCCAACATTCGAGAAGTTTTTGAACGAGGAGATCACATGCGCGAGTTCCCGTACCACCCGAACTCGTACGGAGACATCAACCGCGTCACGGCGGACATTCAACAGCACAGATTTGTCATTGTGTTTCACGAGGCTGGGGACGATTACGACCAAGACGAGATCCGTGAAGCTCTGCAAGAAGCATCGAAGATATACAATGAAAGCGGCACTGGCAAGCCCATCAAGTTTTGCTGGGCGTTTTCCTTTAGCGGTCTATGCGAGAGCCTTCGATCGGTCCTTCGTCTGGGGATGCCAAAGGACGCCCCTGCCATGATTCTGTTGGATATTCCCGATAGTGGGGCTTTCTATGTCTGTCCAGAATCCCATTCGACGGACATCACAGCGGATTGCATACTGAACTTTATGAAGTCTCCGGGTCCGAGAATTCAGATATAAATAATGCTATGCAACAAAACAACAACCTGCTTGTCTTGTATCTGGGTGCGCCTGTCCGTGTATTGCTATTCAACATAAAGTAACCTCATCCTGTAATGTAATCAGTTCATCCTCCGTTTGTTCGTCACTCAAGTTGTAGATCTGGCCGCAGTTATCGAGGGCGGGCTTCTTGATATTCACGGCTTCTCTGATGATGTCAAGAACACTGTCCAGCTTCAGTCATCTGCAGCCTGTGGCGACTGGATAAGAAAGAGGCTTGCCCAGGACACCAAGGCAGAAATTAGTAAAGGAGGATGGGCAGCTGTGTGATTCGAAATTCGTCTGATGCTGACTCTTTACTACTTCATTCTACTCAGTTCATGTACAGATGGTTTCCGTGATGTCTGATTGTTGATCCTGAGACATGCGCGTGATTGCCCCAGACTAACTTTGTCATTTCGGGTGGATTGGGAAGGTCCAGCAGTGTACTAGTACTAGTATTTCCCAGCACCACATGGCGGACTTTTTTACCACACACAGCTCAAAAGAATCACACCTTTGCAGTTGTCCTATTCACCAGAGAGACCTGCGCTTCCAGTACGTTTTCTGATGCCCATCGTGGGATGTACAGGATACAGGAACCGCTCTTTTGCGCCACGAAGTTTGTACTACGGCCGAACAGACCTTTCCTTCCATTGTGTCTTTGTACGGTTGGTCATTTCCTTGGTTGTTTCGGCATGCCGAAATTGTTGAAACTCTAGTATTTGGCATCACCTATCGTGCACTTAACCACAGGGGTGCCATGTACCGTAGTGAATCGTTCACAAAAGGGATCAACGTACTGTCATCAAGTGCAAGATTCCTGTGGCAGCCAACCGTCTCCGATGGATGCCCCCTCCAAATCTTCCAATGGGCAATGCACCTTGCAGGAGCCATGATTGAAATCTACTTTCATGCTCTTATAGACCTTCTGGTTGCGCTCTTGTTGTGCCTCGGCACGATCTTGCTGTGTTTCACTTTGGGCACGCACAGGTATAGCATACTCCAGAGGACAGGTGGCCTTGCAATGGACATAAAGGAATAGGAATTGGGAATGATGATTTCGACAGGAATCGACGCTACACACCTCTTCGGAAACGCAACATGATTGCACGGCATTCAGGGCATGATTCGATTCATCGCACTGTATTTAAGTCTTCATGCGGGTCAAACGCTTGTTCTGATTCTGCAGTGTCGCTACTATGTTAAGGTCATTGTCATATTCCCTCCTCTGTCGCTTTTTCACTTGACGAGCTCGTGGATTCAGAATCGAAGGGTTTCGGGTCGAGGAACCACCACCCACCCCACACCCAATCCTTGATACCTCTACCGGTACCTCTAGAAGATCTTCCATTGACATGTTGGCTGCGTGCCCGTATATGGATCTATTTGACCATAGACTAATAGAGATATTTGTGGCCAGTGCCTCCCTTCTCTAGCTAGCTCCTCATCGGTTGCTTCTTTATACCCAAGCTGGACTTGAGCCTCTTCTAGAACTTGCCGTTTTATTGTCATTGCTTACCATGCACAAGCTGTCTTATAATGCTTTCACGGTATTCAAAGCGAATTCCGCAGAAAAGAAGCGAGCCGTCGAGTGAGTCGAATCCCTCCTTCGGCTCACGACCAACCCCAACGACCGAGGAACAGCCCACGCCCGAGATGGGAGCGGCTGTTCAGCGCTGTTCATAGAAGACAGACAGGACTGTTGTTGTTATTACAGCAGAAGACAACAACAAGCAACTCAGCTGTGGAAAGGATCGTAACGTTGATGATCCAAGCAGTATGAACAACAACAATAACAACAATAACAACAATAATCATAATGCCGCAGGGCTGCTCTTGGCGGCGCAGCAACAACAGCAGGGTGGCCATGTAGACATACCGGCACACGATGACAACGTGGACGATGAAGAGGAGGAGGACGACGGCATTGAACGAGACGCCGACGGAGTCCTCGATGGTGGCGTGGCTGGTTCCTCCAACAGCTCTAGTGCCGATGATAGCTCCACCACCGCTGCCGCACGACGTCGTTCGGCGGATTGTGACTTGGTGCGTGATCCAATTTGGTGTAGGCTCTGGTAGGCTTTCTACTTGCTTTCTGACGCTTCTGTCTGTCGCTTTCTTCCACAGCTATTGTTCATTGTATGCGGCGAAAACATGGACGACATTGCTCCCAAACATCCCATTCTGAAAGAAGGCGTTGTAGTCTCTATTGGACTGGACAAAAACACGAAATTGGGCGCTGTCTTTCGTCGCTTTGCGGAGTTTTGCAATGAGCATTCCAAACACAAAGTGGAGGATACGGACTTGGAATTCTTCCACTGCCAATTGTTGAATGGATCAGATACGGCGGAGTCGTCGGCGTTGATGAAGAACGATCGAATCAAAGTACGAAAAGAACGAGCTGCTGACCGACAAAATCAGGCGGAGCTCAAACGTCTACAACGTGATTCCGACAAGGAATACTTCAAACAACTACAGCAGCTCATGCCCAATGGGGGCGCCAACAAAGATTGCGATGTGGTGTTTGATTGCCAAGGAAAAATCCCAGACGACAATGGATTTCGACAACAAGTACTTACCTCCAAAGTGAGAGGACATTCTGTCGTTTTGGGCAAGCGATGCAAATGGCTGGGAGAATTGATTGATACGGCGAGAAAAGAACGTGCCAATCATAGTGTCTTGACGGAGGATCCACCCGCGGATGACATTATCAACATCAATAATTTGAGCGATGTGGTCGTCAAAGCGGAGGAGGATGCGGACAATTCGCCACAGAGCCAAAATAGAATTGACTTCCCTACCGGACACATTGTCGCCAACACCAGCTCCACGCTGCCAGATGAAGATGGACAGCCTCCCAGACGCAATGGTGACACGGAAGATTACGATGAAGACGACGATGAAATGGGAGTGCTTCCATTTCCAATGCCTCAGAATAGACCACAAGCCGTTCACCGGGGTGGTGCCACCGAAATTGAGGACGACGACAACGATGAAGACGAGTCCGACGCGGACTCGATGGGAGCTGTTGGTGGCCACTCACGAGATCGTGTGGTGAGAAACAGTTTTGTTTCCCGGGAATCGACGCAGTCGGATGAGCTGGTTGTCACCATCTCCAAGCATTCTCCTCAGGCCATGAAGCTGCTCCTGGAGTATTGCTACAGCAACCGTGTCATTCCGTTGGGACACGATGCATATGTACAAGCTTGTCGAACCAAACCGGTCAAGCCCAATGGTCCAGTGGCACCGTATTCGTCTTCGAGGCGATGGCCAAACAATGGCGCCCCGCAGGTGACTTTTTCGGTTGCGTTGGCAGGCATCTCGTTGGCGGAGGAGGCTGGTTTGCGACGTCTCTCGCTCATGTGCGAGGTCGCGGCATCTCAGCTGGTCAGCAATGCAAACGTTGTTCATGCTTTATCGGCGTGTACCCAGCAACACTCGTTGACAGGCAACTCGCTTCCACGCCTTCGAGAGGTTGCCATGAGCATCATTCTGAGATTCGGGCCGCGTGGCTTTTACGACATGCCTGTCTTTCGAAAGGCACTCGAAGGACCAACAACCTCCATCATTCCGACACTGCTCACGGGAACAGTGGAAGCTATGGCCACAAACGACAAACAAAAGAACGAAAGCAGCAAACTATCGGGTCACAAGCGGGACTTTTCTGCGATCGCGGACAGTTTCTACAAAACGTAAGTGTACCAGCCCCATATCTTGAATGATGTCTTGTCTCTCATTGCGAAGCCTCCTAACTTTTATTCTTTGATTTTCTATTGCATTGCACAGATGCGACCGAGAAGACACGCATTCTAGAGAAAGCGAGCGACGGATGCGTCGTTTGGAACGAGATGGAAAGGCTCCAAGGCAACCCGCTGGAGTTCTGGTGAAGACCGAGGACGAAGACATGTACCTGGATCAGGTCCATTCTTCCAGCTGGGCAGCCGAATCAGCGAGGCGAAGTCTGAAGCGAATGTCCCACCACGTAAACATTGGTGGTACCTTTCGAGTGGATAGAACTGGAGTGTACGCTACAACATCACGAGACTCTGGGGCAGGGGTCTATCCGACGCGAAGACGCAGTTCTCGACGCCGCTCTTCTGAGCGCAAGTAGACTGGATCGAATTGAGGCCTTGGTTTGATGATTTTATTATGTTGGTGTTCACATTGCATGCAGTATTTGTTGCGCTCGCTCTTGTTTGTCTTATATATTATTAGCCGATGATGCACGAAGGCATTGAAAGGCAAAGCTTTTTAGAAATATGACAGTACTATTAAAAAAACAATTATTGCATGCATTTGTGTTACTAGTATCATCATGTCTTCGGCGCACCAGCAAGGAAGACAGTGGCGTTTCTCAGTTCGGGTTTCGTTGCGGAGCATGGTCATTTACTTTGCGTTCCTCTCGTATCATCGCTTTCCCTTTCCTTTTCGGTTCTTTGTCCTCATTGTTGTTGTCTTTGCGACAGACCCTAGTGGCTTCTTCTCCTGATTGCTGGCTGCCTTCTTACTGGTACCGGTACTATCATTCTTCTGTTGAGGTTCGACAAAGTATTGAACTTCCTTCTCCTTGCTTTGGTTTTTGTTTTGCTTGTCCCGCACGCCCAAGGCCGCTCGAACCGTGTGTACTTGACTGAGCAATGCAATTTGGAATAAACTGACTGTCGAATAGGGTATCCACGCACAGAAAATGGCGGTGGGTGCCTTGTGCAATGCGACAAAGAAAAGAACCGGTAGGGATCGTCGAAACAATTTCCATTTCGGTGACCATTCGGTGGTGGTGGGATTCCCCATTTGATCGGCTCGTACTTCGGTCATGAGAAAGACCCCGAGTGTACTCATGAGGGGCAACGCGAGCGAAGGATCGGGAAGCGTCAAATTGGGAAACCAGAGCATTCCACCCGCAATCATGGCCTGCGGATCGTCGTACAGGGTCAATCCTCGCATGCCACTCATCATGATGAAAAAGGTACTCAGATTGGTCAAGGGCAATGCAATTTGTAGGAATTGTCGTTTGCGAACACGAGCTTGGAGTTGATCGCGTTGTTGGGAAAGCAATTGAGTATTTTGTTTTGTGGTACGGGATTTTTGTAGTTTTTGTTGCTGCACTTGTTGATGAAGACGATCAATGTCCTGTTCGAGTGTAGGATCGACGCGAGTGGCCATGATTCCCAATGGGAGATTGACGGTCAATCGAAAGAGTACCGTGACGGTGGCAATTGAGAGTGCATAATTGAAGCCGGTCATGTCATGGACGGTATGCACCAGATCCATGACGATCCCCGTGGGATATTGGTACCATTCCATCAATTCGTAGTGATTTAGTGCGGTGGTGGTGGTGTCAGCAGTATTAGTTGGGATTTGGGATTGAGTGGCCAATATTACCGATGACGGTGATAGGGATGATGTCGTCGTGTTGGCCATGGATGACGACAAGTGGGACGACGGATGGTAGGACCTCCTTTGTGTACCGGTACCGGTATGATGTTGAACAGCCAATCCATGCTTTCTCGTGTTGAGGTGTGACGAATTGGGAACCAGCAAAGACAATGCAGAAAATTTTCTGGATCTGAGGTTGTGTAAGGCTCTGTTCTTCTTGATGCAGATAGAGCTTCGCAATAGTACAGATGATGATAGAGAAGAAGTGGTTATTAGTGTCATCTTGGTTTTGGTGGTTTTTTATGATCGGTTGGAGATTGCAGATGAGGTATTTGTATCTTGGAAATGGTTTGACATCACCATGCGTTCACGTTTTACTTGTGAAGGGAGTGTCGCAGTGAGATGCCCGCCGCGCAATGGGGAGAATAAGATTGCTTGGTGGCCATGGGCACTCAGCCCCAAAAGATCGGCCGCCAACGGCAACAAAACCCACCGACCAAAACAAGCGGAACCAGTACAACACCCAGCCATTGCTAGTTTCCGTCTTCCAGTCCATCTATTCCATACAATAATACAGTAACTATACATCACAATGGGCAACTCGGAGAGCAGCCCTGCTGCGAATGAAGGCGGCGCTTCGATTGACGATTTCGACGGCATTGAAACCCTGGGCTATCGCGTCTTGGGCGTGCAACCGAATTCTCCGGCATCGGCGGCCGGTCTGGTGAGTTTCTTTGACTTTTTGATTGGTGCCAACAACGAAATGTTGTTGGGATCGGGCGAAAACTTGCAAGAAGGCGACGAATACGAAGATGTCGATTTTCCCGCCTTATTGGAACAATTCAAGGGACGACCGTTGCAACTGCTCGTGTGGAATATCAAGTGTCAACAACAACGCCTCGTGGACATTGTGCCGTCGGACGACTGGGAAGGAGCCGGATTGTTGGGTGTCACCATTCGTCTCGACAATTATGCCGGAGCTGAAGACCGATTGATTCGAATTTTGTCCGTCGAAGTCAATTCTCCGGCGGCCATTGCTGGATTGGTCGCCGCGCAAGATTACTTGTTGGGGACGACCACACATTCCTTTGATTCCACCAAAGTACTGGCAGCCGTACTAGAATCCAATGTTGACAAGGTCGTCGAGTTGTACGTGTACAATACCAACAGTGACAAGGTACGAGTCGTGGCGCTCATGCCCACGTGGAGTTGGGGTGGAAATGGATTGCTAGGAGCCGAAGTAGGAACGGGATATCTCCATCGATTGCCAGGATCTTGTCGCTCTACATTAGGTGGATCCGTGGAACGACGTGTCCGATGGATTGGAGGCGCCAAAACGGGACCTACATCTCCGGCAGCAGCAGCAGCAGCCACCAGTAATAGTAGTGGCCCTGCCACACCGACAACCACCAATCCATTGCAACAAGCTGCCACACTCGAATTGGAACCACAGCTCGAAATGGAACCCAACGACGACGAAGGGGAAGAAGAAGAAGAGACACCAACACAAATTGATGATACCACATCGTCCATGGGAACCGTCTCCTTGGCATCTGCCACTATGCCTCAGGAACAATTACATGTACCACAACAGCAACCACCAGCAGCAGATGTACCCAATGAACCAATGCCCGTCACACCCGTCAAACCAGCATCGGCACCCACACTCACAGCAACAACAACAACAACCATCACACCCACCACTATTCCAGCAACCACGCCCGATAAACCTGCCATTTCCGTATTTGATCCAACCGCCACGAAACCACCCATTACACCCATCATGACACCCTCGGCTTTCTCCAATCAATCACCACCACCTTCGGCAGGAGCACCCGCTCCCTATCCACTGTCGCCTTCCGCTATGGGTATTGGAGCCGATCCCGCCGCACAACCCATTACCGTAACCACCTTTATCCCGGCTGCCAAACCACCTCCCGATACCAAACCTGTGTCTGCCGAAGATCTCTTTTCGGGACCACCTCCCGTCGCTAAAATACCCACGCGACAATCCGTGACGGTAGCCACGTCGGTAGGAAGTGTCGGAAGTCCCACAAGTTCCAATGCCAACAACAACGGCAAACCCACCACTCCTTCCAACAATAATGGAGGGACCAATGGATCCTACTTTTCGACACCGCATCCGCCCAATGATGTTCGTGGTGGTGCCAATAATGGTCATGCTACCAGCAGTAATACACCACCGCCGCCACCCGTACCCGCCAACAGCAATGCGTATGGAGTCATCAATGATATTCTGCCACCACCACCCAAAATGTCAGGGGCGCAATAATAGTACGTACAAGTAGATGCACACACACACACACACAAGTTTAAAACACAAATACCGTACGCACACACACACAAGACACTGTTCTTTTTAAAAAGGTCATCCAGTTGCTAGCTTTCTAGTTTCGTCTGTTTCGTAATAACACTGTGTGACCGTCTCACCTGCCGCCATGGTCCAAACCCTCTTGCTCTCCTGATACCGTACCGGTACCGTACTGTCTCATGCGTTTGGAATCGCCGTTTACCGGACATGACGCGGAAACTGTTGACGGAGCGAGGACGATGTAAAGAAAGGAATGCGGCGGTACCACGGTAAAGCTAGATTTGTCTCGGTCTTGGTATACATCGGCTCTGCGTCCCGTGCAAACTTCGGGCTGGATACTCTTGCAGATCCTCCCAGTGCTACCGTACCATCATGGTGGATCCTTCGACTTTACTGTCCGTGCCAAGGCGGCCTCATGAATCTTTCAAATCCCCATTGCACTGCCCCGTTCTAGCCAGTCTGCCCCGCATCGGATTGAATCGAATGTTGAATCGGATCGAATCATAAAGCACGTCCGCCAATCACAGTTCCACCGACAACAGTCTTCGGCCTCCACGAACTCCTCATGAGCTACAGGGCCATCAATAGCGTAATGCATCTTATTAGCTGGGGGTAACATAAGCTCGACAAGATATTGGTAAACAACCCAGCCTATCAAACTTCCAGGAGGCACTGGCTGGCATCTTGATACGGTACTAGGCACCACTCCTCCGCGTGCTGCTAGCTAGCTACCAAGAAGCTACCAGTAGTTTTTGAAAGCTATTTTCTAGAGGAGTGTATTAAAACTAAGTTCGCACAGCACACATTCATTGACTTTCTCTTTGTCAGGCCAGGCCGGAAGCGGCCTGACTCTGTACTCTTCTCCCAAATTTTCATTGGTTCACGGACTCTCCTCATTTTGGGATGCCCCAAGAGGCTTGCACTAGCTAGTGTATGTGCTTCCTACATACCGGTGCCAACTAGCTAGCTAGTACTGTACTTTCATTTAGGCCCAGCATTGTACTAAAACACTAAAACCTCCTTGTTACACCTACCAGGTACTAGCTAGTATCTGACTGCGTGGATTGTGGATTGAGCAAGGGGCAATGGATGGAACAAAAAGTGGGTGTCTGCAAACGGCGACGAAGGGAACTAGGGACTCTAGCTAGAGGGACTATTAATAGTAGAACCACCATGATGAAAGGTGACCAACAATTGCGAAGGGAACCACACACACAAAATTCAGAATCGAATCATGTGGTCTTGTTAAGTACTGTACCACAGATAATACGATGTACCTACTCCTTGAAAGTCACGAGTCACGAGTACCCATCTCTTGTGCCCTGTTATTTCACGTGCCATCACAATTGATAATTAATCCACCTGGTAAATTTCACCAGGTATACTTACGAAACGTACCGGTACCGGTCGTTGCTTCCCCTTCTCCAGCAATTGTGCTTAGTAGTTTTTTTTTTAGACTTAAAGGGTGTCTTGTGACTATCTAGCCAGCGGTACTCAGGTACCAGTACTAGGTGACAAATCTGCAGTGGATTATCAAAGGGCGATTCACGAGAGTCAATCATTTCTTTAGGAAAAGTGTGATTGCTATACAAAAGCATCTTGTTGGGTTTAGGCCACTGCGCTACCGGTATTGAGAACCTACAAGAACCTCATCCAGCCAGGTTCCTTGGGGATGGCTACGGCGCTACCGATGGCGAGAGTTGAGCAACATCAAAGCCCACAATTTTCTCCCGAGCCAAGTAAAAAGAGCATCAAAGAAACCGAACCAAAGCAAATCAAACCGGACATCTTCAAATCTATCCTTTCAATTGTTTGACCATGAAGTTCCTTTCTCTTGCATTGCTGGCCCTGCTCCCTGCCACTGTCCTTTCTCAAACCGCTGTGCCAATCTTCTGTGAAACTTTTGAATTGACCATCTCTGCTGTTTCATTCAGCTTCCAAGACTGGGTGGGAGGTAGCGCTGTGAATCACAATGGAGGAGAAATTGAGTGGGGAAATCCCACTACCAGTGGCCAATCCGGCTTGGAAACATCTTCCAATGTGCCTGGGACAGTGATTCCTGGACCGGAGTTTCCCATTGGTACCTTGACTCACAACAACAACCCCATCACAGGTTCAGCCCTAACTCAAGTTGATCTTGTGGTGTCAGTCACTGCCAATGGTCAGGTCTACCCGTTTGTCTACCGGCTTTCCATTCATGAAACTCCAAACCATCTAAGTAATTGTCCTTATGCGACCATTGGGAGTCTTGGTTGTTCTGATCGAGTCTTCATTATTGATAATCCTTCTCCACAAACTGTCATGCTGGCTAATGGAGTCAACTTTGAAATTGATCTGCTTGGTTTCCGCATGTGCCCCACTTGTCCTATCAAGACACAGTTCATCTCTCAAGAGACCCGATCGACCTCCGCCCAATTGTTTGCAAACTTGATTTTGACTGACTGCCCTCGTCGAGGTGGTGGTGGTGGAGACCCCCACTTTGAAACTTGGACTGGACACAAGTTCTATGATTACATGGGAGCCTGTGACTTGCATTTGGTTCAGGCCCCTCACTTTGCTCCTGCATTGCCCTTGACAATTGATGTCCGAACCAAAATTCGCTCTTGGTACTCCTTCATTGAGTCTGCTGTTGTACAGATTGGTGATGAAACTCTTGAGATTGGTTCCTTTGGAGAGTACTTGTTGAATGGCGTTGAAGGTGCTGAAATGCCCAACACAATCGCTGGATTTGATGTCAATGCATTCAATCCTACCAAGAATGTGCACATTTTGGAGATCTACATTGATGAAGATGAAAAGATCATCCTTCGTTCCTTCAAGGACATGGTAACTGTCAAGATTGATAATGCCAAGAAGGAACAATTCCATGGCAGTGCTGGTATGATGGGAGAATTCGAGACCGGACATGTCCTGGCCCGTGATGGCATGACCCGCATGGAGGATCCCATTGCAATTGCCAATGAATGGCAAGTCCGTGACACCGAACCAATGCTCTTCAATTCTGTCAATGGACCTCAATACCCCCAAGCCTGCCGCATGCCTGAGCGCACAGCTCAACAAGCCCAGCGCCGTTTGGGTGGCATTACTGTGTCCAAGTCTGAGGCTGAAACAGCATGTGCTCATTGGTCCAAAGCCATGCGAGAGGCTTGTGTTAGCGATGTTATTGCCACTGGTGACTTGGAGTTGGCCGAGGCGGGAGAGCTATGAAGATGGTAGAATGGTTCCTTGTTCTTTAGGGTCTCATATAGCCATATATATTCATGGACTAAAAGCGTTTCTAAACACTAGCTAGGGAATTGCTGTCGAGATTTTGCTCTTTGCCATGATGGCTACTAATAGCTACGATGCGGTGCTGGCCAGCTGGGGGGAAGATGGGCGGCAGTGCAGTCGCGTTGTGGAAAGCCTCGTGACTTACAAACACCTCAGACGTGGGTGTTCCCAAGAACACGCCAACACGCACCTCCTTTGGCCAACAGGCCAAGACGCCATACTAGCTAGCTAGATCTTCGAAGAGGCCGGAACATCACGAGCCATCACTTTGCTTCCGCTGTTGCTGACACGGATCTTGTTATACCTACCATGTCCTCTCTTTCTGATACGGGAGAGCCCCCACCCAAACGGCAGCGCACAGACAATGGCACGGATGGCAATGTTGGTCCTGCCGAAGACGAAGCTGCAGCAAGGCGCAAGCTGGAAGAAGCCCATTTTGACCCCGACGATGTGGCTGCTGCAATCACCCCGCCACACTCGGCGAAGCCCCCAGGGGTTGGCTCCTGGTATGCCATAACCCCAATGACGTACTTTAGCTACTACGGAGATCTGCCCATGTGTCGATACATTCTGAACCACGGTGGAGATGCCTCAAAATCTGGACAAGAGTTTTGGTTCCCCATGTATGCGGCAGTCCATCGCGGGCACCTGGATGTCTGCAAGTGGCTGTTTGAAAATGGAGCCCAAAAAGATGTGCGCACCGGTACAGGGAGGCTGTCGTTGATGGGACACCGCCCTTTGAGTTGCTGTTGGAGATCGCCAGGAGATAGGCTCGCAATTCGCAAATGGCTGCTATTAAATGGAGCAGCTCAGGATGGTTCAGGAAACTTTATTCGGAGAATATTGCAGCGCGATCTCTTGCCTCGCAAATTGAAAAGTGGGTATAGTAAATGGGTGGATGATCGGCCAGAGTTACTCGCTTGGTCGCAAACAATGCTCCAAACCAGACTTGCTTTTCACGCGTTCCTTATGGGAACTGGCACCCCGAGCGCGACAAAACCAGACGCCGCAGATGAAGGGAAAACCAGTTTTATTGGGACTGACAAAAACGTCCTGGATGAGCAGAATCCTCGCGGTAGATCCCCAGTGGAGTGTGTCAGTGGCAACATTGGTGTCTTGAAGTGCATTGCAGTTTTTGTTGGTGTGTGTGATTCGAAGCAGTTACAGGTTCATCAGCAGTTGTCTCGGATGCTACCGATCATCTTAGAGGATGATCCTCCTCGTGGTGAAGTTCGCGACCGAGAGAAAATTAGAGATGTTGCTAGCTAGCTAGTTATAGTTGCATCCAACTATTTTAAAATACTAGTAAGTTAGTTCGTCCTTGCAATTCCTCTTTGAACGAATGCCAACGAACGCCTTCATCGTTTTATTTTTAAAAGAAAACCAGGCCGACTCTGCATTCGTAGTTATAAGTTTCTTGGTTTCCAAGCTGTGCACCTCGATTTTTTCTGCTCTCGAATCTGTGGGTCGCGGCTTCACGGCAAATCACGAAGTCAGCAGGCAACCCTACAGGCAGCCTCAAAAATAATGGCGATTGGCAATATTTCTTAGCGCGGTGTGGACTGCATCCATTGTAGGGGGGTTCTATGTTAAACCCCATCGTCCAACCCAACAGCACCACCCACTATGGCAACCCCAACAGCTACGCCAATTCCAATTCCAGTACCACCACAACCAAACAGACACAATCCCCACAGCTTCTCCATGTCCAGCCCCACCACCGTACTACCACCGCCCAATGGGAAGTAACAGAGCTGCTTCAACTTCCAGCCACAAGGATGGACCCACAGCACTCCCCATGCAAACCCCCACAACCCCACAGCTTCTCCAACTTCTAGCCCCAAGCTTGAAACCACAGCGCGCCCCCATGGAAATGCCCACGGCAACCTCCGCATCAACCATATGCACTCCAAGACACACCCAGCCAGAGGAACACAAGGCCCAACACCAACTTCTGGCTCTCAAGGACCCACATGAACAACTCTACCACCACCATCACTGAAGAGAAGAGGTAACTCCAGGACTCCAGGAGCTTCCCACTGCCCACACCGCTACAGTGAGTGATGGAGCCAGCACTGGTGACCCTAACTTCAAAACTTGTGCTTGCAAGTGGTATAACTTCCATGGAGAAGAAATTGACTCCTGGACTGGATTGGAAATCCACACCAGCAAGTCCTTGATACTGAACTCAAGCTCTCCCAGATCAACCCGTTCCCCCAGCATCCAGTTCAGTGCACCAGGCATAGTACCAAAAAGGAAGCACAGAGGCTTGGTGAATCCATTGCCATGGAAGCTGCCCTGGAAGACACGAAGGACCAGTGGGTCTATGCTGTCATTGGCACTGGAGACTGGGGGCTTGGGGAAGCAGGAGCTTTCTAAAGCATTGGCTGGCCCTCCTCCTACGGGGCCAAGTGCTGTTAAGGCCTCGCGTGGACAGCTCCAAGGGTTTCTACTATTTGGTTTCTTGCTAGCTCATTCAGCAGATTTGGATGTTAGGCTGGGTGAACTACAGCAAAAGCCAAGAAAACGAGAACCTGCCGAACCAGGTAATAGTGGCTAATTATGATGCATCGCAGTAATGGTTGTCTTCTCTATTTCCGTCGGGGGCAATCTTTTTTGGCTCACCGTAAGAGACTCCATCCGCATTTCCATTACGCCACCGCTTCTTGCATTTCGTGTTGGCTGTGACGAGCAGCTGGGGCCCAACAGAAGCTGGATGCTTGGCAATGGGCGGGTGTCGTCCTGGCTGGGCACTGGGCTGATGCCTTATACAGTGATGATGCTCCATGTTTGAGGATCTTGTGATAGTGTGCTCGCGAGTGCTTACTCTACCTGGCTACTAGCGGCTCTAGCTAGTAGAATCTAGCTACTGGTACCCAGATAGCAGATAGATCTAGTAGATGTTGCGTAAATCCAAAACTGTATGGAGCTTCCCTTATTGCATTATTGTTGTGATGCGTTCTGTACTGGTGCAACCGTACGCAGTGGTAACAGCGGTACCGGTACGTAGCACGAACGTCCACAGAGTCACAGAAAAGGAGCGGACACGTATCGGTGACCTCGGAAAACAGAAGCTGCATCCATGGCCAGCTTGGCCGCAAGTTTTGATTGCGAATTGGCGAATTAACAGTTGATTGCCCAATGCGTGGCTTACTGGTATAAAGAAGAGCGATTATTAAGCAATGTACACGCCACGTAGGCATCAGAACACTGCAACGGCATAAAAGGTTGGAAAGGAAAGACGCGACAAGAACAACTGAAAATGACCTTTTCACAGCAGGAACCCAATCTGTTTAAAGATTTGTCGTGGCGTCTTACGCAACAAGAAATGCTTTAAATCTAATGAAGAATTAGTTGAAGCTGTTAAATAAAGAGCAAGTTGTCACTTATCTGGAGAGCTTCTAGAGGAAAAGGTGCAGTTTAGTGTGTGCTGTTTGAAGTTGCCCTGTGTGCAGTTTCTTACTAGTAGTGTAAAACAGGAGGTGGGTCATCAGTGCATGAGTACTGGTACCCTGAGTACGAAGTACGAAGTCCCAGCTAGAGCTATGCATAGCTAGCTAGTACCGGCGCAAGTCTTTACCAGGTCCTCTTTACCTACCTCACCTCCTCGCCTCCTTACCTCAGCTCTCGAACTCAGATCAAAGGGTCAATGGGTACGTACATGCCAGCTAGCTATTACGTACATGCACTTGGAACTTTGGCAGTTGGTGTGGTACCGTTCGATCTACCAGAAGGAGAAGCTCGGTCGATGATCACCGGATCTCAGTTGATTGAATCTGGCACGTGGACCTCACAGACTACAGTAAAGTAATTTGAAGACAGATTGGAATCGTACTAAATCGTTGACTAATGACCGAACCTCTGGGCACTGGGACATTCGACAAATCGCATGCAGGATCCTACCGTATGGTACAATGTACAATTCCGGGAGACAGGAAAATCCAAAATCCAAAGCAAATATCCCTCACAATTTTCCTTGCCTCTGGAGACAGACACATCGCTCCACTACTAAAACAGATCCTCGAAACTCGAAACCACCAAAACAAAGAAAAGAAAAACAATGAAGAGAGCCCTTCTTCTTTCGACCATGGCGGCCCTCTCCTCGTGGGGGGTACTTTCAGTAAGTGCCGTGGGCCCATTCCCTCAGCAGAGGCGAATTCAAACGGAAATTGTTATCCTTGACGAAGAGGACACGGTCCCTCCAGCTGAAGTGGAAGCAGCAACTCCGGCTGCTTCAGGAGAAAGTGGCAAAAAGTCCCACTACACGTTTGCGGTGGTCCCCAAGCAATTCATCGAGTTCTTTGAACCTACTCGAAAGGGATGTCATGATCAAGCGGCTCGTCTCACTCGGGATCTGGGAGATGACACTTTGGTAAGTTAGTGAGTTCGACTGGCATTGAAGATCCATCGGCGGTGTCAGCGTCTCTGACATATTCCTTCTGCTACTTTCCCCTGTTTATCAGGTCGAGTGTTTGTACAGTGGACCCACTGAAGCCGAAAACCGCGGTCAAGTGCAAGCGGAGATTGTCGAAGATCTCTTGTTTGGCCAAAGCGATACCGTCATTGATGGCATGGCCATCTCTGTAGTGGACGAAGCCTTGATGACTCCCATTATGGATCGAGCTATAAATGAACTGAACATCCCCGTTATCACCTTTGACAGCGATGCCCCCAAGTCTCAAAGATCCTTCTACCTTGGCACCAACAATTCCTTCTTTGGTCGCCAGCTGGCTCGACAGATGGAATCCCTTAATCCAGCCGGGGGCACTTTTGGAATCATTTCGGGAGAGTCCACCAACTTGAATGATCGAGCCAATGGAATCCTCAAGGAACTCGCTGACCAACAGTCTTCCAAGGTCAATGCCGATATCCAGACTTGGCGACAGCTACCCGATAGTCCCTTTGATGCCCAAAACAACCAGACATTGGCTCTGGAGAAGATGGAAGAATGGGCGTCACAGAATCCTACTGTATTGCTCAGCGTCACCGGGCTTCCTATGCGCGTCAGTACCATCCAAGACGCCGACGGTAATCCCATCCCTTATGAACCGTGGAGTGACTTTGTCGACTCCAATCGTCATCGAAACATCACACTTCTCTGCGCAGACGCTTCTCCTCATCAGTTGGCCATGCTGGAAACAGACTACATTGACGGACTCGCTGGACAACTCCCCTACGACATGGGCATCAAGAGCATCGACAGTCTCTGGACGTTGGTGCACAACCCAGAGGCACCGCTCGCAGATGAGCCCGGTGGCATCTTTATCGGGACCAATGTTCTCTGGCATGTTCATATCCCCCTCAAGCTTCCTCCCATCACCGTGGATATGAATCGCGTCGGAAACCTCCAATTCATTGGTTACACCTTGTTTGCAGTCACAGCCGCCACAGCCCTGGGATTCTGCGCATGGGTCTACATGTACCGACAAGTGCGTGTCGTCCGTGTGGCACAGCCCCGCTTCCTCGTAATGATTGCCGCGGGTGTCATCGTCATGGCTGCCGTCATGATTCCACTGGGAATGGACGATGTGGATGGCGGAGGCACGTGCAATGATGCAGAAGACATGGGAGTTGGACACCACTGCCGTGCCATCTGTATGGGTCCTCCTTGGTTGGGCTCGATTGGTTTTACTCTCGTCTTCAGTGCACTCTTCAGCAAGACCTGGCGAATCAATCGCATCTTCAAAGCCGATAGAAGAGCTGCTCGTGGTGGCAAAGCCAGAAAGATGGCGGTATCAGAGAAAGATGTTCTGGTGCCGTTCTTCGTCCTCTTGTCAATCAACGTCATCATTTTGCTTTGCTGGACATTCATTGATCCCTTGACTTACCACCGAGAAGCCGACTTTGCAAGGGACGAATGGAATCGAGTCATCTCCACCTACGGCATGTGCAAGAGTGGCAATGCTCTCCCCTATGCTATCCCATTGATCCTTGTCAACTTTGGTGTACTACTGTTGGCCAACTGGCAAGCGTACGAAGCCCGTGATATCGAAGCTGAGTTTGCTGAGACCAAGTACATCACCATTTGTATGGCCAGTATGCTTCAAGCAATGGTCAGTGGAGTTCCCGTTCTACTGTTCGTCCGAGACATGCCCCAGGCCTACTATCTTGTCTTTGTCTTGCTGTCCTTTATGATCAGCATGGTCATCCTCCTTGTAATCTTCCTTCCCAAGGTGATCTTCACACACCAGTACCTCCTCATGACTCCCGAGATGCAAAGACAATACATGGCCGCAGCCATTGGAAAATCGACCAAAAAACAACCTGCGACGCCGGGAAGCCGAGTACCGCGCACGTCGACCACTTTTGGAAGCACCATATCAGAGGCTTCACCAGCAATGCTTGTTCGCAAGAACACGAAAAACGACGCGTTCCATATTCCCGAGCAGGCCGCAGAGCTTGGACAGTCCACCTTCCGCGATGGTGACAGCAAGGCAGCGGCGACGTCCGCGAAGCCGGCGGACGTCCTCCAGGACAAAAAGAGTTCAGTTGGATGGGGCGGAATCACAATCACGCAAGTCCTGAATGACGATCAATACGACGACGAAGACGTCCAGACAGATGAGAGCTTTGAAAAACCCGTTGATGTCCTAAAAGACGGCAAGCAGAGCGTTGGATGGGCTGGTTTGACTGTGACTCAAGTCATTGCAGACGACGATGATTTCGACGAGGACGAACACTTGCAAGAAGACGTGAACTTTGTGAAGCCCGTCGATGTCCTCAAAGATACGAACAGCGCTGGTTGGGCTGGTTTGACCGTCACGCAAGTCCTCGCGGACGAAGACAACATGCACAAAGATCATTCAGGACGATGATTGCCCGTGTGTTGAATTCAATCTAGGACATGTTTTGTGCCATTCAAGGGTGTGCGTGGTGGACTTCGAAGGGGGGGGGTTTACATCAAGACATCAAATCCAGTTTTGTTCCGGGCTCTGGAAGCCAGCTTTGAAATTCAGGTAGATGCGGTAAACTAATTTAAATATAAATATTGAGAGTACTACGTAACTTTAACCCTATATATACCTTAACTACCCATTCAAGCTGACTTCCTTAGCTCTTCCTGACATTCGGCTTTTTTTCAGCGTTCGTCTCCTGTTTCCTCAGTTTGCTCGCTACTTGGATCCATATGACGAATACATGCAATCCAGCCATTGTAGCCAGCTGCGGAACCGTAGGCAGAGAGTTACATCGATCCGTGACAGTGACCTTGCATTGGATCCTTATGACGAATACATGCACAACCGAACATTGTCAATCCAGCCATCGCAGCCAGCTACCCAGCCATCGCAGCCAGCTACTGTAGAGTTCATCGATCAGTGACAGCCGCAACAGTACCGAACACACTCAGGTTCGACTTTGCTCACTGCACTCGGTTACCTCGCATTGGATCCTTATGACAAATAATATTGCCATTGTAGCCCGCTACCATACAGGTACATCGGCGACAGTGGCAACAGTACCGAACACACTTAGGTTCCGCTTTACTTGCTACACTCCATTACTGGTACCTTGCAATGGATCCTTATGACGAATACATGCACAACTGAACATTCTCAATCTAGCCATCGTAGCTAGCTACCGTAGAGTTCATGGATCGGTGACAGTGGCAACAGTACCGAACACACTCAGGTTCGGCTTTGCTCGCTGCACTCGGTTACCTCGCATTGGATCCTTATGACGAATCATGCACAAAACCGAATATTGTTAATCCAGCCATTGTAGCCGGCTACCATACAGTTACATTGGCGACAGTATCAACAGTACCGAACACACTCAGGTTCCGCTTTGCTGTCTGCACTCCGTTACCCGTATCTTGCATTGGATCCTTATGACGAATACATGCACAACCGAAAATTATGAATCCAGCCATTGTAGCCGGCTGCGGTATAGCTACATCGACGACAGTGGCAACAGTACCAAAAGTTCGGCTATGCTCGCCACTGTTACCGGTACCTCGCATTGGATCCTTATGACGAATACATGCACAACCGAATATTGTCAATCCAGCCATTGTAGCCAGCCAGTTACCGTAGAGTTACATCGATCCGTGACAGTGGCAACAGTACCGAACACACTCAGGTTCCGCTTTACTGGCTACACTCCGTTACCGGTACCTTGCATTGGATCCTTATGATGAATACATGCACAACCGAACATTGTTAATCCAGCCATCATAGCCAGCTATCGTATAGCTAGTGGCAACAGTGCTTGACCTGCGCATACAGGAAAATGGGTACCGACACAGGAATCACCACCAAAACGATATGAAATAACAAGAAGGGATGAATCCGGTAGGAGGATCCACTCTCTTGTGTGTTGTTGCCTCTTCCGGTGGCTGTTGCCTTTCAATGACTCGACGACGATAGGCTCCTCTGTTCAGGCTGTTGGTAGGGCTGGAGTTAACAGAGCCTCCTCCTCCGTAGCGGTAGCCTCTCATCTTCTTGTAATCCGGAGCGGTCGATCGAAAAGGACTCGACAATGGTAGTTCGCCGGCCGTTTGCAGTGCAGCAGAGAAAACAACAAATAGATATGGGTTTTGTTTTCTGTGCTGAACTGAAGAAAACCAGCGACTTACCCTTGCTTTTCAAATTGCACCAACTTGGCCATCATGGGCCGAGAACTGACTGCCTTCCCGCGGTCCATAGGATTGAATGAGGGATGGCTTTCGCTTCTACACCGGAGACGACCGGCTTGAGTGAGGCTTGACAATAGAGATAATAGAGGTGCGACCGACCGATCAATTCGAATAATTAAAGAACAACTCACTTGTTGACGGCCGAGCTTGGAATTCTCTCCTGAATACCATAGAAATTCAACGAGGGAGAGAAGTCAGCGCTGCACCTTCAATAACAGGCTTGATAATGAGCTTAGATCTACCTTGAATCGAATCGATCAATCGGCCGATTGGATAAAGCACTCACCATTGTTGTCGGCCAAGCTTGGATTTACCCCCTGTTTACCATACGAATTCAATGAGGGAGAGAAGTCAGTGCTGCGCCTTCAATGATGGACTTTCGCTCGGTGCAATCAGTTTATCCTTAACCTTAGCAACTTTAAAGGTTCTTTTATTCCACGAATCAATCTAAAAATTTTGAAAGGAAACTTGTTACTTAACGATACACATGACCGTTGATTCTGCAACTGAAGTGCGGGTACACTCATTTACACAGTAAACGCGAGCCAATCGATTTCAGAGTGCAACTGAGGGGGTAACCAAAAGGTGCGCCGTCTCAAGGAGACGGAATTCCTGGCTGCCTACTACTAGCTAGCTAGTAGTAGCTAGTAGACTACTCTGATGCGAAACTAAAGTTTAGCGGGGCTTGCAAAGGAATCCTTGAAGAATCTGATTGGTTTCTGGAGAATGGTGATTCATACTCCACTTTAGAAATGATCACCTGAATTAGCCAAATCCAAGTCATTGTCTGTCATATTCATACCATGCTGACCTCCTCATTGTGTTTCCTCATGATTCTTCATGGGGGCGGGTTTAGAGTAGGTGGATTATCTACCGAAGCAAGCCAGCGAGGGCTAGGCTTTTAATAAGCAAAGAAGAGTTGAAATTTTGGACTGGGTTCCATGAGATCAGGGGCAATCAATTGAGAACTGTTACGGGCCCAAAGGGTTTGGCTTTGCGAGATCCACAGAGAAAGAAATGTGTAACTTTCACAAGGGCAATAGAGATAAGTTGTTTGCTGGTTTTGATTATCTAAAGATTAGAATTGTGACAGTTTAGAAAGTTGTATTCAAAACCTTCTCAGCCATGGAATTCAATCTCAAGATTCAAAGAGGTTCTGGAGGAGTTTAGCCATTTTGTTACACTGCTCTCTGCCTGAAGAAGGATAAATCCCTTTTTTGGTGATGATGTGTACGCAAAAAATTCTGGTCCAAAACAACTCCTACCAAATCATGGGTGGCATGTTCCGAAGCCAAACTTCTTTGATTGTTTTGCGTACATACTGACTGGGGCTATTGAAGAGCAGGAATAAGTAGGAGGAAACCCTTCAAGGAGGATGCTTTGGAGGACTCCATGTCTCTGAGAAAAAAGGAGGAATCATTGGATTATGTCCCATAGTTGACAAGTTCTCAGCACAACCTACAGAGTATCTGCACCAAGAGATATGATACAATGGCAGTCTAAAACCTGATCCACAGTATGTCAACCAAGAGTAACTCTATAATGATAGTAGTCTAAAAAGGAATAGTTGGTAGGTCATTGGATTATGTCCCAATAGTAGCTTGCTAAAATGCATAGTTGACAAGTTCTCAGCCCAACTTCGAGAGTATGTGGATTAAGAACGAGGACACAAAGGCAGTCTAAAACTGATCTGAGGAAACCCTTCAATGAGGATGCTTTGGAGGACTCCATGTCTCTGAGAAAAAGGAGGAATTCATTGGATTATGACCCCAAAGCTGGCTAAAATGCAGGGTTGACAAGCTCTCAGCCCCAGCTTGTAAGTATCTGAACCAAGAGATATGATACAAAGGCAGTCTAAAAAACCTGATCTGAGGAAACCCTTAAAGGAGGATGCTTTGGAGGACTCCATGTCTCTGAGAAAGAGAAGGAATTCATTGGATTATGTCCCAAAGGCTTGCTAAAATGCATACTAGAATAAGGAGGGTTATGAGCCATCGAAAATTTACAACATTTTCTGCCACACAGAAACATCGACCATGGCGTACCTTTTGACTGTTATCCAACTACTAGTTGGATAACCTAGTAACACCACCCAACCAGTAACCGGAAACTTTAGTGATAGTAATGAAGATAGCTGATCAACCTTTCCAATGGTCTCGAAAGCTTTTGTTGTTGTAGAAATCGATATCGGCAGTTGTTGAGGATGCAGTCGCACTTCACCGAACAGCAACATGCTGTTGTAAAAGTGAGAATAGGTCGAGTTGTGGCTTACCTCGAAGGGACAACACTAGTGCATTCTCTTCCTTAATAGTATGAATGAGCCTGAGAGAAAGCAGAGCAAGATCGACAGGGCTACAGCCCTTGTTTCCATCAGTAAAGGAGTCATCAAAGTGAAGGCAGAACACGATGAAAATGGTTGGGTTCTCGACTCCCCGAAGGAACAACATGACCTTCTATCAGAAGGTTCGCCGCACATCCTCCAAGATAGTGATCGCTGTTGGTGGCAATGGTCCTGTTGTTAGTAACAGTACTGGTGCGAATCCACCCAGGAGTGTGAGTGTCGCAGAGTCTTCCTCTTCTCAAACATCAAGCTTGACAACAACCAACAGTCCACCTACAACAGGCACAGCATCAGATGTGTCTCCTCTTGCCTCTATCACTGAAGGAGGAGCGAGCGAGCAAACAGAAGAGAAGTCAACAAGACGCACAAGCAAGGAATTGCAGAGAGTCAATGCAAAACAAATTCAGCTCACGACCGAAAGAGACAAGAAAGCAATGAAAGCGGCAACAACACTGATTCACAGGAGCCAACAGCTACCAAAGGGTGATCCCAAGAAGAGGAGCATAAAGGATATTGTGGATTCGACCAACTGCACTACGCTAAAAGCTAGTGTAAAGATCTTTCGAGTGTTTTGAGTTTGAGAGAATGAAAGTTATGAGAGAGATTAGAAAGCTACGAAAACTAATCCATGAAGAGATCGTTGTGAAGCTCATTGAAGTTGGTCTCCGCGGGAGGCCTCGAAGTGTGATATCGTAGATTAGATAATAACTCTACGTACTCCACGTCCATTTCCGGAACACGTGGAACTTCAGCTAGTAGCTGTCTGTAGCGGGAGGCTTTCCACGCTGCTAAATTTTAGAGCGATGTTTCATCGACAACCTAGTATACTAGAGTCATTG